AAATAAATTGCGAGACGTGTGAGCCAAAACCACCAACCGTTCCTTCTTCCACGGTGATTAGGAAATCGTGTTGCTGGCACAACATTCTTATCAGATCAATGTCAAGTGGCTTGCAAAATCTCGCATTAGCAACAGTTGCCTGGATGCCAAAGTTGAACAGAAGAGATCGAGCTATCAAGCATCTCTGGACCACATCACCATAACCAAGAAAAGCTATCTCTTTCCCCTCAGCAAGAATCTCTCCTTTACCAATCTGAAAGAGAGTCCCCAAAACTAATAAGAACAGCATGCAAAATGTTTAAGCGCACAAAGGTATTGCCAGCTTGTTTTTTTCAGTTCACCAAAGAACACCAGCTTTTAGGTGGGCATGAATCCCAGCATTAGCGTAACTGATAGCTTTCAAGCTGTACTATTTTCCAAGTGACTTCTGCTTAGAATCAAAAAAAGAAATTGAAGTAGAGCTACCTCAAGTGGATTCCCATATGCTAAAGTGCCACTAGTCCCAACGATGGCACCCTTGGGATACCGGAAGCAAATGGGTCTGTCCTCAACCATTGCAGCTGTTGCCACCATGTCAATAAGTTCATCCTCATTAGATGGTGACATGACGATCATGTTTGGCAGGCATGACATGAATGTAATATCAAATGGTCCTGAGTTAGTCGGGCCTTCAGATCCCACCAGACCTGCACTTGTGATTGCAAAGCGAACTGGTATCTTTTGCATGTCCACATCTTCGACTATCTGGCATATATGTGAGCTTTATCAAATGCGAAGTACTTGCAGTAAAGCAGCCATACAGATTAAGTGGAGCTTTAGTCTATAGCCCACTATTACAGAAACTATGCTTGTTTCAACTATTTTATTGTAGTACATGAAAATTTGGAAGATGGCTTACAAAGCCTACTAATGATTGTTTCAACCATGTAGCAGAGCAAATATGGAGTACAGTTAGAGAGGAGGAATACATGGGGAGATGGGAGCAAAGGGCACCTGATCATATGCTCGCTGGAGAAAGGTGGATGGAATTATGCAGAAAGGCTTTAAGCCTCCGCATGCCAAACCAGCAGAAAACGTAACAGCATGTTGCTCGGCGATACCCAAATCGAAAAATCTGTCCGGAAATCTGGACTGAAATAATTGGATTGATCGATCTATTCCCATGCCTCCATGAACCACCACAATATGCTTGTCATTCTCTGCTTCTGCTATTAGTGATTCTACAAAGCAATCATTATATGTCCTAGAAAGACCATTTTCTAAAAACTTTAGAATGTCTTGGCTTGAGTCTGGAGGCCCTGTTAGCAGAGAAAAAAGTTAATAAATTATAGATTCATTTTAGTATCCTATATGATTTGATTGTGCAAAGACATGTAGGAAGGATCTCAAAGGATAGTTGACTTATACATGTAATATTTAACATAACTGATATGTGAAACCTTAAAGTTCCTGAATGTTGTGAATTGTGAATGATTCTACAGGTGAGAACCGATTCACATATTTCATTTGAAATTTCAGTAGTGTGTTCTATCATTTTTCAAACAAATACAACATTCACATGCATATTGCCACTCAAACAAATCCTTATCGCGCTGTTTCCTTCCTCAAATTCATGCTGTGGTGCTTCACTTATCTCTCTGTATTAATATCAAAGCAAGACATCCAGAATGTAAAATGAGAAAACAGAGAAAGCAGAATGTACGCTATCATATTCATAGGATTGCAGAAAATTTCGTTGACAATTTGTAATTGCACACCTTCCTCGTCGGGAGTAATCTCACTATTAAATTCTCCACCTGAGTCTTTTTCATTCTCAGTGATTACATGCACAAGTACTGGGCCGGTAGAATCTAGAGTAGAAACCTCCTTGAGTACACAAATGAGATCATCAATGTTATTCCCATCAATAGGCCCAATATAATATAATCCAAGTTCTTCAAAAAGAGTTGCTCCATGAGGACCTATCATACCACGGGCATACTCATCAATTTTGGCAGCAAATTCATGCATCCCTTTACCAAACCATTTGGAAAGTCCCTAGAAAGGAAACAAAATTCGTATCAAAGCAGGAAACTCAAGGCAGTGCAAGACTGTTGTTATTAAGAAAGTAGAAAGACAACCCATGCCAAAACTTCCTGGAAATTTTTCATCATAATATGTACAGCAGCAAGTCAATTAGCAGGCTTTTATAACAATAAGTTGAAAGTAACAAGTACATTTGTCACTACCAGATAAAAAAGAGAACTGAAAAGAAACAATCAACTAGAAACTATATGTCTATACTATAATCATAATCAGGAAATAACAGGACAGTTAAAAAAAACTATGTTTTATTAGCAAGTTCAAATCTAGTACATTATGTCATACAGAAGCATAAAGTTTTACCTTTGCAGCCTCCCTAAACTTTCTAAATCCTTTGCTGGATTGAACCTTGCTCAGAGCACTAGAGAGGGCATTAATAGACATCTTTGATTGGCTATCTGCTTTAGGAAGCAAGGTGTGCCGGCTGTCATTTAAAATCACTACCATGTTAGAATCAAGGAAACCGGCATGACCCATTGCCTCATACACCTGACCAGCCATAGTTGTCCAGTTACTTATAACTGTTACTATTCGGTTTTTCCTCCCACCTAGATCCCTTGCGACTGCCATCCCTGACAAGAGATCATTTTCAAGCTATAAACGAATAAAAGGAAATCATTTGACATAAAAGAATAAAACATCAGGAGATTCATGATTAAATGTAGAAACATACTTAGGATTCTAATAGACTATGCAAACTTCTATAATGATTATTAACTCCATTAGCAAAATAAGATAGTTTAAGAATTTCATATCATGACTGCTGATACCACACCAGAAGGATATGAACTTGAATACATCAGAACTTATATTATATTTCTTGAATTATATTTTGAGTCGTACATCCCGGCACTGTATACCTTGGTTTAAAAAGCAAGAAGCACTGTTTTTCTCTGTTTCAGGTAGCTGAACTATTGATAAAATGCATGGAAGCTAATCGGAGTCGAAGATGAAAAAAACTATGGAATATTGTACGGATTCCAAACACAATGAAATCAATATCTTAAGGAAATCCATTTAAATAGAAGGAGAGGTCTAACAACAAAGCAAGCAGTTCTTGAAGTGCAAGGCATGAATTAATGTATTAACATTTAACAGAGGCAACACTATATATACCAAGGCCTGCGGAGAGACTATTGCATCCATGTCCTGCACCAAAGGGATCATATTCGCTCTCGAAACGGGATGTGAAACCTGAAAGCCCCTTTCTTTGCTTAATAGTATGAAAGAGTGAGCGCCTTCCTGTGAGAATCTTGTGTGCATATGTCTGCAGATGAGAAAAAATATTGAACACAAAAGGTAAAACATTTCCGATTATATGAAATGGTATATGATAGCTTACTGGAGGCAAAATCTTAGCACAAAACAAAAAGATAGAGGGATCATACATGCTGACCAGCATCCCATAATATCTTATCCATTGGGGCATTGAAGACATAATGTATAGCAATAGCGAGCTCCACAACAGAATGTCCAGTGTTACATGGTTGGCATTTCCTCGACATTATGAAAGATATCTCCGATCGAACTTCACCAGCTAGTTGCTTTAACTCCTGTCTTTCAATGGGAATTGTCAAAAATTCCTCAGCCATAACATAGTTAGAGAGTATGCTACTATGCTTAAGATAGTATGACTGACGACCTTACTAGATAGATTTTTCAAATGGATGGGTGCATCGATCGTGTCCAGGATTGGAGTTGGATCCTTCTCCCAAAAGAAATCATCGACATCTGGCAGCGCAGCCACTCTTCTATTGAAGCGCTGTACAAAAAGAGAGAACATTCACCATCTGTGAGTATGAGACTACAAAGTTCAGAGTCCTTCTCCGGCCACAAATGTATCCCTAGTGAAATAGTTATCAAATTCTGGCAGGCTGCGACTAAAGCTCACACAATGTACTTCATTCTTTTATTCTTTGTGGGACTAAATATCTACCCTGAAGCTAAAATGTTAGCCTTGTCTGCACAGTGTACTGCAGATATGGAGAAAGAACATACCCTTGATGGCATATTGAACACCAGTGTTCGACATGGCTTCAAATTCGATGTTTTGCATCTCAAACACAGACAAGAGTGGAGACAGCAACTTGTTGAGCGCACAAAAGTTGATTCCTCACAGATTAAATTAACAGCAGGTGGAGAATGCAGATATCTCCCACCCATCCTGCGCAAGGAGTGACGACCAAAAGCCTGAAATTTACAGTATTCTTTAGCCTGTGAGAAACTTATTTTTTTTCTAAAAATAAACATGGAGAGATCACTGGATCCTAAATTCATCATAAACAATTATCCACATATGTTTTCAGTGTTCTAGATGAAGATGAGCACACAATCAAGTATCAGTCCTTGGAATGACACCACACCAAGAATCAGCTACAAACAGCAAACTCATCTATCCATCCAGGGACAGCTAAAATGGAGAATCAGACGGCCAAAATCCGTAATCCCCAATTTACACCACAGGCAACCAGCTTCCACTAGAAACCGAAATAGCCGCGGGGGGCAAAAGAAAACCAAGAACCCATCTACCGTTACCTCCTCTCCTCCTTCAAACCGGCCACCCGCCGCCGCCGCACGCGCAGGATCGGCGGCGAGGGAGCCGGAGGCGGCTCAGCGTGAGGGGGCGCTGCTGCTCGCGAGTGGCAGCAGCAGCAACCCTAGCTCCGGTTTGGGATTTGGGACGCGGAGTGCTCCTCTGCGCTCTTGACATGACAGATTAGTTAGGCATTAATCCGAGCAGAAAAGGGGACGATGATTAATTTGACAGAGGATTAGCTACTAAACTAATCACGTCTCTCCTAATCATTCATTATTCGGTTAACTTGTTCGTCCGTACTCGCGGGGCCCAACTGCCAGTGGCACTGGAGTGGTTTGCTCGGGTAAATTTACGAGATTGCCCCTGGGATGAGATAGAGACGAAGTGAAAAAGAAAAAAGCTTCGATTTTTTCTTTTGCAGAGGTGGTGGATAGATAGCGCGGCAGAGGAAAGAGGAGAAGAAAAGATGGCGGCTTTCGCCTCCGCTCTCCGCGTTCTCCCCTCGCCGCCGGCTGCGGTGCCTCGTCGGCTTCGCTCGGTGAGCTCCTCGTCGCGAAACCCATGGATACCTTCTTCTTCTTTCTGCCCCTTGCTCGTGCGCTCGCTGGAAGCTTTCTCATTTGGCGAGCTGCCTTGTTCTTCGATTTGTGACTTGAGATTTGATAAAAGGGATAGGAAGGGGAAGGGAGACACTGGCATTTCAAAGAGTTAGACGTTTGGAATTCGAGGGCATTGCAGGTTTTTTCCTTGCAGATTTTAGGATAGTGCGAATTTGAGGACTTTAAATCGATTAATAATTGATTATGAGTGGCACTATAATCTTTTGTACCATATTATTATCGGTCTCAAACATGACACCGCTAAAGATCATGTGTGTCTGTGATGTTACAAATCAATATACTATTTGATAAGTTAGTGATCCTTTATGGTGGATATTCAGCTTTTGTGAGTAATTTTTCAAGCCCTAGTTTTTTAAGAACAGGTTTGTATAGGTGGTGGGTCTATGTAGTGTCATATAATCTCATTGTAGTTAGACAAGATCGTTTCTCTATGTTGTTGGTATTCACCACGGTAAGTCAGCCACGTCTCATTTTTCTTCCATCTTCCACTGTGCATATGCAGTGTAAGATGTTTAATGTTTCTTTGTGTTAAATTTGGTGAACTGTGCCAGTTTCCATGATAATCCGTGTCATGCTTGCGTAGTGCTCAAGCAATGCTAAAGAGAGCTTAGGATTGTGTGTATCACGCTGACACTGGGCTTAGCAACCAATGTTCTATTGTGAAGTTGGAATGACATTACAAGCTTTGAAGATTGTACCTCAGCTTTTGTAATTCTACGGGCCCTTGACTATGATGTTTAGTGCTGGTTGCAATCTTTACGCCTTCTGTTTGTTGCAGAGAGAACAAAGGCAGGGCTGTAGATCTCGAAGGTATTCAAAAGTCGTGGCTTACTACGCTCTCACTACTCCGCCGTATAAACTTGTATGTTCTCCTCACCTGTTAATATTGCCTCGACAGATTACATTCTGCCATTTAAAAGGAAAAGATTTTAACTTATAGCTTGTCCTATGGTGTCCAGGATGCCCTGGAACCTTATATTAGCAAGAGGACAGTTGAACTTCACTGGGGTAAGCATCAGCAAGACTATGTGGATAGCTTGAATAAGCAGCTTGCTACCAGCATGTTCTATGGGTACACTCTGGAGGAACTAATAAAAGAAGCATACAACAACGGCAACCCATTACCAGAATATAATAATGCAGCACAGGTAATGTTGTTATTATTTGGCTTTTTTCCCCCATTAGTTGGATATTTTATTTGTACCCATCAAATTTTCATCCTGATAGCTTCAGTGTACATGTTTAATTGTTGCACATAACTGAAAGCCTGAAAAAAGGATGAGCAGTAGGCTTATTATGGTTCTAATTTTCAATCTTCTGAAATACAGGTATGGAACCATCACTTCTTCTGGGAATCAATGCAGCCAGAAGGTGGTGGGTCACCAGGGCGAGGTGTCCTGCAGCAGATAGAGAAGGATTTTGGCTCTTTTACTAATTTTAGGGAAGAGTTTATACGCTCAGCATTATCACTTTTGGGGTCTGGCTGGGTTTGGCTTGTCTGTAAGTTTTTTATTTTCATTTTCTTTGAAGTTCAGCCTGTACAGGCACTGTTGGTTCAATCTGACTTCCTGAAATGTTGTTTCTACAATCTAAATTTAGTTTTTAAAGTCTGATTTATACACGTCTGGTCTATCTTTTGCTTGTTTCAGTGAAGAGAAAAGAACGAAAATTTTCGGTAGTCCATACACAAAATGCCATCAGTCCACTTGCACTTGGTGATATTGTATGTTTTCTCATTTCCTTTTGAAATGTTTAGAATAATAGCATCCCAAGTATAAACCTTTGTGATGACATTCCATGCCCTCTTCTCTTGCAGCCACTCATCAATCTAGACTTGTGGGAGGTAAGGAAATGACACTGCGTTTAGATATTACATTATGCTAAATATTGACATATCTACTTTTGTGTTTCAGCATGCTTACTACTTGGATTACAAGGTATTTTCTAGATCCTCTTTTTCTTCTTATACCTAAAATTGTAATTCACCAAGTACTAAGCTATCATAAATCACTGGTGATGCTTCCTTTTGATGCTTCAGGATGACAGGCGAATGTATGTTACAAACTTTATCGACCATCTTGTCTCTTGGGATACTGTCACTCTACGCATGATGCGCGCTGAGGCTTTTGTGAACCTTGGTGAACCAAATATCCCAGTTGCATGATATGAGATGATATGGATATGACCTAGAGATATCTATGCATGTATTCTCATCATGAGGTAAAATCCAGCATTTTGCAACATCATATCTGGTACATATGCAGCTTAATTATGTAGTTCATCATTCAGTATATATACAAAAAGAAACTAGAGAATCATTCAGTTTTTGGTGATGACTTATTTTCAACTATGACGCATCTTCAGCATTAGCAATGCCAGAAATCATGCTCCTAGGACATTATCTTATAACACAAAAAAGTTTTCTCTTGAAAAACAGCACGTGAGGCAATCAATCAAATATCGGGATTGAGATTTAAACACATGCTGCTGGGAGTATCAGGGAGCATGTCGCTTGATGCTGTTGCTTCGGCTGGGTTAAGAAACAGAATCAAGTGCCCTCAAAGAAACAGAAATCGACAATACATGATAGCATCTTATGACGAATTAGATTGAAGACCGTAGCAGACAAGTCAGTAAAATTTGGTTGCACAATCGAATCTGATTATTAGATTGTGCACTAATGAGTATGAAGAGCTTAGTGTTAATTACTTCATTGTGTCCTCCTTTACAGATATGGTCACTAAAGAAAGGACCTATACAACTTGCATGCAGGCCGCTTTAAGAAAATAGCTAATTTGTAACTGCACTTCCACTAATACTTATGGTCTTATGCACTTAACTTAATCGACCACTCACTATGAAACTCTTAGTGAGGTATTTTTCTTGAGCAAGAATGAAGTTCTATTACTCCTTTGATCCTTTCAATAATTCGTCCATTTTACTTATATATGTAGAGTCCTAGTTCTTTTGCAAGGTTTCCTAGGACTTTGAAGTTGTCAGTGAACTGGTTCCCTGTGAAACTTTTAGTCTTAATTAGACATCCACAACTTCACATTGATGCTATATTCTTACAAAAAGGAAAATTATTACTAAAGCTTTACTAGACCTATCGCTTTCCATGTCCTACGGTGAGCTAGTTGATGCAATGTTCTTGCATCCAGTATATGTCAGTGCACAACCGCGTGGGTCCTTATTCCCCAAAGTGGTCCTCATGTCTTTCCTTGTAACCACAGACAGCGACAACTTTTTTGTTTTTAGACTCTACATTGTTTTGCTTGATATGTAGCAGGAGTAGACTATGCTAAAATGTTTTTATCTTGTTCTCTCCAATTTTCAGCGACGCCGAGGAATTTCTAGATCACATGATACCTGATGCTGAGATTCGCATGCATGAGAGACACTTACACCACCTCATGTCCTGCACGGTGAAATAGTGGAAATCTGCTTGAGGATAAACAGCTTTGGTTTTATCGTCACCTTGGAATTTTGATATAGCATCAAAGCAACCTTGACACTAGAGCATGATTACAGAGTATGGGCCATCGATCTAACTTCTTCTTGAAGCTGCACCACTTCTTGCAAACGTTTATGCTTCAGAACTAGGACCCATGGTCCCATTATGCTTTTTAGATTAGATCTTCATCCTAAGTTTCGACAACTCATAGCTGTAGTTTTTGTCTTTCTTTTGGCACAGAATTCTGTCATTGTTAAGCCTAGCTTTGTTCCCTCTATTATGTAACCTGACCTTTATGTCCCCATTGCTCATTCCTTTTGTCGACATTGAATTATTTGATGCGATATTTTCGCATCCATTACTAAGCTTTTGCTCAAAGTCACAGCCTATTAGCCTTCACCTCCAGGTTATTTTATCAAATGAATGTAATGGCCTTTGGAAATAAAGAAGCATCCTTGGATGGACTGTTTCCTGCTCTGCCCTGTCATGTTGGTGGAAATTCTGTGTTAGATTATTCAGATTTCAGAAATCTGTGGACCGCGTCAAACAGTAGGAAATAAATTATGTGGACACATATATAAAATTTTTACCCACAAATTATCGTTTTTCTTGTTGATAAACCGTACTGCTTATAACCAGCATTAGGCGAACCGATGACAGCCTAAGAGGATCGCTGTTTGTTTTAACTCTTTCTTGAAGGTTGTGATCATCGGCTTCTTTTGAAACTACCCAGCAGATAAGATTATGGGCTAGCATTACATCCATTTAACCATGTTGGCCTTTTCATTTTACAACACAGTTGCAATCCATAAAGAAGTTAGCATGAAACTGCCAGAATGGGCTTAAATCAGCACTACTCATTCCATTCATCTTTCTGTTGTAACAGAAATGCAGCCGTTCTGCAGCACCACATGGCTGCAGTCTGCAGACATCTTTGTCTTCTACTCTGTAAACTGCAACCAATAACCTGCTCATGTGATGTCTACTGTCAATAGTGGATGTACCCTGCAACAACTCCAATTGAAAAACCATTTGCATGTTCCATGCTGATTGGTATGGCAGGTTAACCTGCTCAACTTGTCACTGGATCAATCAAAACAGTAGGAAGAATCTGTCTGTACGACTGTACCAAATACCAACCCTGCAAGAGATAATTTCACACGCATAGAAAGCACTTCAGATAACAGTATTCTGGGTTTCTTACAATAGTCCTCTTTTTCAGAACACAAATGCTCGATTCTGACAAAGTTTCCATCTACTACATGTTTATTAATTTTACATGATGACAACGGGCTGATAAATTATGAAATCTCAGGGGTAAGAGAGATGGAGGCGATCTCCATCCTCATCTTGATCATGTTCTTGCTATGGCTTGATATGGCAGCCTAGTTGCAGCAGCAGCAGAGGCAGTCGAGGCAGCACTCGCAGGTCTCGTAGCAGCAGAAGCAGCACAGTGCAGTGAAGATGCTGCAATCAGAATGAGAGAAATAGTTAGCGAGATCGATCAGGATTTTGCTAAAAAAGATTCACAAAAGTTTCATGATTTGTAAACTTAAAAACTGACGATATCAGAAACAGAGTGTAGCAGAGTTGAAGTAGTTTCAGCAGGTGTATTGACTTCTGAAGATGTGTACTGCTGGAGTTCGGCTCTAATTCAAACTTTCAGCAACTAAGCCAAGCATGAGAAGCAGGGTGATTTTCTTAAGTAAAAAAAGGAACACTAATAAGTGTGTTCATGATCTGAAGCTATTTGTAAGGTTGTTCAAAGCTAACCAGTGAGACAAAAGAAGCTGAAGAAATTTGCATGAAAAGAAAAAAAATTGCTTACAAAAGTCCAAGAAAAAAAAGAATCTTATAAAATACTCCATCAAAGAGGGGAAAGAGAGAAAGATATGTCAGCTGCAAGAAAACAAGTTTAAGATCCTTCTAACTAATCATCCTGACCAATACTCATCCAGCCATCCTCTTCTTGAATTGTGTCTCCAAAACAGGAGAACAAGAAGAACATCATAAGAAAAAAAAACAAATTGCTCTCACCATGCATAGAGGCAACCCTTCTCCTCATGGCGCCTCTGCACATGTTCATAGTAGGACATGTCCTGTGCCATTGGAGCGTTATACATCTTGTCTCTCTGCTTCTGATGAACAAGCACTCACCTCTCTAAAAAGGTTTCAGAGAAGAACACAACTATTCAAGGGCCAAGGTTTTCTTCTCCTGTCCTCTCTTGTTGCTTGCAGGATTGGAAGTAGTGGATACCATTTATAGGCCAGGAAAAGAAAGGCCACATTTTTCCATACTCCATACAGGTGATGTACTATCATCTGAACTGGAGGGACCCAGATGTCAGCAAGTGATGTAATTTTTTTTTGTCAAATTATGAAAAATTAGTGCTTTGTTTCTATGCTCTTCAGAAAAATTCTCTGTTTTTTCTGCTCATTGGTCCTAGTATCTGACTGGATAATCTACTTGGCTTTTTCTTTGGAACAAGAGGCTCATGTTTGAGTGGTCAGTTCTGATAGGCTGGAATAAGCAGAGTTCTGCCCAACTGCACAAACTACCAACCAACTATAAAAGCAAACAAATAATTAGTATTAATCATCTCTGAGTTCTATTAAGGAGTGGTCCATGGTTTGTGCTTGAGGAACAAGATCCTCTCTTCCAATTAAGTGGCCTGTCCACTGATTAATTGTTCATGCAAGGTCACCAAACTCACCATCTGCTTGCCATCATTGCTAGTATCACATCATGGTTAAGTAGTATTATTAACATGAACAAAAGGTTCTGTTTGATGGCCCCAGATTTTCTTGTCTTGTCCAAATTAATCTGAACGCAAGGCAGGTACTGTATCTATTAACACCAAAAGTGATATATGCAGGTGCTTTGCTTAACTAATTAACTCATGATATGGTGATCCTTTATTGCTAATCAAATCGATGAGTTGTTTGCAGTTGAAGTAGAAATGAGTTAAAAATAAATAATATCAGATTGTGCAAGGGAGGAAGAGGAGATTCGACAGAGATTAGCCAACAGTTCCGAATTTATTCCAAAACAAAAAAATGCAACTTGCAAGAACACGTGAGAACTGAGAACCTAGAATCTGAATTCCCTTTCAACCAGGTCTCAAGAACAAACGCCTTGAAGTGGCACGATAAAGTTCATCTCATAGTGAAATTCAAACAACTAGTAAGTAGTAAAAATTAATGTTGATATTAATTTAGCAGGTTAATTACTGCAACTGATCAGGGGAGGAAGAAGAGATGAACTGACCATGCGTAGAGGCAGCCCTTCTCCTCATGCCGCTTGGTGCAGTGATCGTAGTAGGACATGTCCTGCTGCGCCGGAGGGTTGTACATCTTGGCTAGCTTCTCCTCTTCGATCGATCAGGCCAACCAAGAATGATCTCTCTTTTGATACAAATCTAAGCTCACTTTTCTCTTCAACCTTGCACACAGAGTTTGATGTGAAATGGAAGTATTTATAGAGCAGATTTCCAAGGTTTTCTGATTCCAAGTTGTTGCCTGGTAAAACACCCTTGCATCATCATATGGCGGTTTTGTTTCCATACATTAATATTTTTGCAACCATATAAGTATGACCTTAGTTTCCTTCGAGCCTAAGATTTGTATATGGTCATTTATGTACTTATTATACTCCATTAATTTGGATTTTGGTTCTACACGGTCGTCATTTATGTTTGGCAAAGGTTCAGAGCTGAGAACAGCAGGCACTACAGGACACAAATTAATTCAGTGTGCAGTCAAGAAACAGATGCACTCCCTTTTACTTACACCAACTACTTCGGTTCACCTAATCTTGTTTGCCGATGATGATGACATTTGGATATATTGAGATAATTAATCAAGTCATCAATGCTCACTACTGTGTTTGATATATGTAAGATGATTCATGCGTCATTGAGTTCTTTCTGAAGTTTAAAATGGGCTGTGCAGTACATTATTTACTGTGTATGACCTGTGAGATTAATTGAAGGTTTACTAGGAAAAGAAGATAGGTGTGCTTATCAGATTGCTTGGCTTAACTGTTGGGCACTTAATATGCATGGATTGAGCAAAAGCAAATGTAAGCCAAAGTTACTACAAGGTTTTCACAGCACCTCTGCAGACTGCAGTATTCTTATAGTACCATCCTAACTAACCACAGGAGCTTAATACAGATATTAGAAATGCATTTTAGAGGTATTTTTTTAGAAAAGGAAAATACTTCAGAATTTTTGTAGTATTTGTATCATATACATAACACCAGACATACATATTATTAGTTTAATGCTGACTTGTATAAAATTATGGGCGTCTTATATTTTAGAATAAAGAATAAAGGAGTAATTAATTAGTTCGCATATGCTCATTGTGTCAAAAAAAAGACTTAATTTTTTGCCATTTCATGGAAATTTAGTAGTGAGAAGAAATAATCAAAATACCCTTGCTAACAAAAAAAATAGTATTGCTAACTAGTCAGATATATAAGATATATCGAAGGGATAACACTCTTTAGTGATTGTCGATCGATTTGTCAATTGATAGTAGATAAGCAAGAGACTATAAATTATTTTTTAAAATAAATTTTGAAGGTTGGAAACCTTTTTATTTTTTTAAAAAAATAAAAGAACGGATGGAGTACTACATACTCCTATACACACATATATATTTCCTTGGTGGCTAAGAGTCTACTCTACATACACAAGTGTATGACAAGTGGATGGAATATGGCTATGACTATTACGTCTCATTCCGTGTCTGGATTTGTCATTTGCTGACTATTAGGAGACGACGTTTCGTTCTATGTCTATGTATGCATCTTAATTTCTTTCTTGGGATTTTTCTCAGTCACTGTTGATATAGACAAGCAAACTCATTCTTGACCAAACTTACGCATGCAATGCAATGCCATCAGAGTCAAGAATATTATAATGTCGCACACGTACGTACTCCCTCCGTTTCAGATCAAACGAAATGCGACGTATCCTAATATAATAAATTTTGATAGATGTATGTTTAAATTTATAGTATTAGAATGAGTTATATCCCGTATTAGATTTGTTTATTTTGAGACTCAGATCAAACGAAATGCGACGTATCCTAATATAATAAATTTTGATAGATGTATGTTTAAATTTATAGTATTAGAATGAGTTATATCCCGTATTAGATTTGTTTATTTTGAGACAGAGCGAGAACACACTCATGTATAATCAGCTAGCGTATAAATCACGGCATTGTTTTGGTTGTTAGTGACTTAATTAGCATGGAAATGGAAATGCACACTCTTAGTGTAATTGGCAGGATACGCACGGTGGTCAAGAAGAGAGAAACATCGTAGACTTGTAGTCGAGTATATAAAGGCGTTTGGTGGGTTCTAAACTCCAACTTTCAAATCTAAACTTTAATTTTAGTGAGAGCTAACTCCTATAAGAACTGAGATGAGTATAAAAAGTGTTTAGCTAGATTACTCAGTTCCACGCTACCACATCCCTCGTCGCATTTCGTCGAACATCTTGTTGGCGTCACCCTGCCGTTGCCGCCGCCGTTCAGCCCGCGCGCTGCGCCGCCGGGCAGCCCACAAGCCGCAGCCGATCAGCTTGCGAGCTAGGCTGCCACCTGTCAACACCGCTGCCCGCACGCCGCCGCCGATGCCATCTCCTTGCTGCCCTCGGCACCACATGCCGCCGCCCGCCGTCACCGCCTGCCACCGATGCTGCGACCCACCCGCCGCTCGCCGCCACTACATGCCGCCGCCGGCCGTCGGTAGGAGGATGGGGAGGAGAGAGAACGGGAGGAGAGAGGGTAGCAAGAGGTAGTTCAGTGGCATTTTGTGTGAATACACTAAAAAAATTAAAGGGCAGTGGATCTTTTGAGGTAGAGTGGAGCTGTGAAACAGAAAAAACTCGGCTCCATACAAATTTATGAAGCAGCTATACTAACTCCGCTCCAAAATAATAAAGAAACTGTACCATTTGCCTAAAACCTGAAGCAGAGCTGGCAGGCCACAGAGAAAGGCAAGGTGCGTGCGTGGGCTGGCCCAGAAGAGTGGCCAGTGGGCTTAGGCGCTGTGGCCCATGGTTGGCCCGTAGGTTGGGCTGGGATTTCTGGCCCAACAAAACTAAACTGAAGTTCCCACTCTTCTCTTCTCTTCTATGAAAATGAAAATATTCCATGAAAATACAAATAAAGGTAGGACATATAAAAAAATCATTAACACATGACCAATTAAGTTTTAATTATTATAATTTTAAAAATAGATTTGTTTGATATTTTTAAAACAACTTTTATATACAGAAAGTTTTCACACGAAACAGTGTTAACCAAAGTTGAAATAAAATTAATATGTATTTAATCATAAAAAATACCATCCATATATAAATCAAAGAGAGAGAGAGAGAGACGGGCAGATGGCTGCTATCGGAGGCTTGGAGCAGCTAGCCTGGGTGTTCGTCCAAAAAAAATAGTTTTTGGGATGAATCGAAACAAGAACCCATCCACAGATTCATTCTTAAAAATTGTTTTTTTTTTCTGAAACTGGGGTGTAATTCCAAGCATATATTGATGCTGTAACGGCTGCAGGGATCGATGACGACGATGTTGGGTGTGATCTCGTTAACTCCGGCCGTTGTTTGCGCGCGCCCCCAAAGAGATTTGTCTGATGCACAGTCGATCACACACGCTGACATGCAACACTTCCTCTCTTGGAACTTCACTCCAGTTTACCGGCATCATACTACAAGTATTATAATGCAGATGGAGTAGTAAGTATATGCTCTCCCTCTGGTTCCATATTAATTAACGTTTTAGACAAGGTTAACGTTAAACTTTTATAATTTTTATTTTTAAAGGAACTAAAACAACGTATATAGATTTGTCTTTTAAAGCATTATAATAAAAGTAAGCATGCATTTATTTATTATATATTATAATAGAAAAATAAGTTCAAAAATATATCTCGTAGACCGTATCATTATTTAAAATGTCAATTAAAATAAAACCAGAGGGACTATAGCAGATGCTTCCAGCAGCTAGCCAGCCTTCCTGATCGACTTCTTTTCACAGCAGCAAAACTGACCTGATATTCAATCAATTTTGAGTAGACGACGATAGATATATATATTATATATACCGTATGATGCATAGTTAGGTTTTGATTCGACCTCCATAGCCGTAAAAAACTATGCGATCGATCGATCAATTACGTGCTTAAGTACAAAATACAGTACTATACTGACTCATCAGTATCATTCGCACTATATATGTTAAATTTTCCTGCTAAAGTACGAATTGATCCTCTTCATTTACATCGATCGATGCAGAGTTCTAAGTTCTAACTAGAAAAACCGTGTGGCTTTGCCGCGCATGGTAAAGTGAACCCAGCTCATTCGACTTTAGTGAAGTAACTAATTAGGGCCCCTTTACTTGAAAGAAAAATATAGAAAAATATAAGAACTTTTATTCTATATAGAAACAATAAATTTTGCTATAGAAATTTTTTTATATGATTCTTTGAACCAAAGGATTATTAAAAACTATTGAGTCTTATCAAATTTCTAAGGAATGCCCAAATTCATACAAGTTTTGGAGTATTTTTAATATAAGGTCCAATATCACGCGAAGTCTCTTATGAGTTTATCTCTCTCATCTAATTCTTGCATTTTTCGTACGGTCCAATCAAATGATTATTTTATATATTATTTTATGTGTTTTATAATTCTTTGTTTTGCGCTTGATTTTTTGTCAGAATTCTATGTTTTTCCTATTCATCCCTCAATCTTTGTTTCAAAGTAGCCCTTACAAGACATATATAGGTTGCATTTGACCGAGGGAGAAAAGAGAAGGGGACAATTTTGCTAGTACAATTGTACCCCTACTTTGATGTCAAATACCGATTTTATCCTACATTTTAGGGTTGTTATTTTTTGCCCTATTTTTTTCAAACGAATGAGGCGTTTACCCCTGTTTTTGATGGAAGTGAGTGGGATTGGACTTAATGCGGTAAAGAATTAGAGAAAGAAAGAGATAACGATTTTTTAAATTATCGATTGACCCTTTTACCCCTAGAAAATATCCAAGTACCGCTTGGTGTCCCTCCAGGCTTGAGCACTTGGCATCGACTCTTCCCTTCATGAACCCAAATCCCCGTTGTGAAGCAGTGGCGGCAGTGTCCCTGGGCCGGCCGGCTAGGCAATGGGCACGACCCGAGCAAGTG